TTTTAAAGATTTTATTTATTTGAGAGAGAGAGAATGAGAGAGAGAAAGCACATGAGAGGGGGGAGGGTCAGAGGGAGAAGCAGACTCCCCGCCGAGCAGGGAGCCCGATGCGGGACTCAATCCCAGGACTCCAGGATCATGACCTGAGCCGAAGGCAGTGGCTTAACCACCTGAGCCACCCAGGCGCCCTATGTTTTTTTTTTTTTTAAGATTTTATTTATTTATTTGACAGAGACATAGTGAGAGAGGGAACACAAGCAGGGGGAGTGGGAGAGGGAGAAGCAGACCTCCCGCTGAGCAGGGAGCCCGATGCGGGGCTCGATCCCAGGACCCTGGGATCATGACCTGAGCTGAAGGCAGACGCTTAACGGCTGGGCCACCCAGGCACCCCAACATCTTTTTATGTTTTAAGAGCCATCTGTACTTCGTTTCCCCATTTTTTTCTATTAAGTTTGAGGTCACTTGTAAATAGGAGCCCAGCTTGTCTCTTACCTTCCTTATCCAGTCCTTCAAATTGCTCCTGGCTTAAAAGCAAATGAACCCAACCAGACCATTTCTTGTGGCCCTATACCTGTTGATGTAAATCAGATGGGTGAATTCACTTTTGTTAGGGCCCTGATCCCCAGATGTAGCTTTGCCAGTAAATGAAAAGAAGATCCACTGAGGGTTTACAGCAGAGAAGGAGGGAGGGGGTGATAGAGAGGGAGGTTGGGAAGTAACTTATTGGAAGGAGCAGGGGAAGGAAGTGAAGCAAGAGGAGAGCCGGGGAAGGTCCGGCTGGTGTCCTGCAGTGAGAAAGTCCCTCTGAGTGAAATTGGTTAAGTTCCTGGCATGGACGGAGAAAAGTACTTGATGAGTCTGTTTCAATGGCAGTAGGTTCTTGCAAAAGGAAACGCCAGCTTCTACCAAACCTATTTTGGAAGTTTTCCTTTGGTTGTTTTTGGCAGCCTTGACAAAGTAATTTAAAACAGTGAGTTTGATAGGAAAGACAACCACTAAGTGACTTGAGTACTGACAAATTATCTAAAATTGTCATTCCTAAGAAATAAACTCAACTGGGATTTAGGCCTGGATGGAATCCAGAGGTTTGTTTGCATAATTGATTACGACATCTTAAGAGGAGGGGATTTTTCACGAAAATTTTTTTGTAGTGAGATTGCTTTATATTCCTTTACATGACCAGAACTTTTGTTTGAGAACCAACAGAGAGCTTCAGGAACACAGGGCTTTAGTTTTCTCGACACATGGGAATATTCTCATTATGAACATTTACACGTACTTTTACAGCAGAGTCCTGGTGTGGTCTGATCTTCTGGAGGAGAGAGGGTGCTCTCCTTTTCCCTTAAGGCGAGTAGTGCTGGCCCGTAGCCTCCCCCCTGCCACCTGCCCTCTGCTCTCGGGCTGAGCGGGAGAGCTCTCCAGTGCTCCAAGCCTCTGACGGGGCACTGCTGGCCCCTGACTTACCTTAACGTCCCCAGCTGGACTCTGGCACTGTATTTGAACTGTATTTGTAGACTTCATTTTGTCCTTGCTGTTGACGATCATTCCAGTCTTTTAAATCCTCATTGGTAGGTTGATAGATTTTACTCAGCTTGATACCTGCAACAAGTTAAGCTTTTTAAAATTGTTGATGCTATGCTTTGGTGATCGTTTTACATGTGGACTTGTCCTGAACTTCAGCTTCTTTAGCTGGAAACAGCAGGCGCCTCTTAAGAGATCTGTGATGGCCCCACAGATCTTGCTTGTTTTCTCATTCTTACTGGAGGAGTCAGCCAGGATAAGGAATTTGTTGGTTTGTATGTATGGATGTATTTATAAAGATTTTATTTATTTATTTGAGAGAGAGAGCGAGAGATCAGGAGCAGGGAGGAGGGATAGAAGGAGAAGCAGAGGAGCCCGATGTGGGACTCGATCTGCTGAAGGCAGACACTTAATTGACTGAGCCACCCAGGTGCCCTTGTTGGTTTGTATTTATATAAAACAACAGAAAGTAGATTTTAAAAAATTTCCTTGAAACCTCATGATCTAATAAGAGAAATTTTTTCTCTGTAATTGGGAGGCTTGTTGAGGCTTGGACATTACCTGCTGAAAGTGTCTCGTGATTTTTTGTGGGATTGGAGAGGATGAAATGAAGACAGGGACACAGATAGGATGTTGAGACTATTCCTTTTTCCCTAAATAAGCAGATCAGGGGCTCGGGACCGCTGCCACCGACTCACAGGCATGATGCTTTGCTGCAGGGTACACACATGACTATATGAGCTCCCAGGGGTCCACCTGAGACACCAAATTCATGGGGAAGTGATCCCAGGTCCTGTTGTGGGTGTGGGCCGTCTGGCTGCTTCCCTGGTGCAGGCCTTGCTCTGTCCTGAGGCTCTTCCCTCCTGCCACCCAGCACTCCCCTATTTTGGGTGTGTGATGATGTGATCACTACCCCAGACTTCCCTTTTTGACATGGGTCACTTGAATTCAGGACGGGAGTGAGAAGCCATTTTCTTTTGATTTCAGCTTCCTGTCTGAGACCTGCCTCCTCCCAGGAAACCGACTATTTTCCACATTCAGTTAGAACATGTGGGTTCTTTGGTGACTGAGCAGATGTGCTAGTTGAGTACTACTGCAGGATTTTAGCACACACATTCAATGTGATATCATGTAACTTCTTGGACCAGGTTTCAGGTTGAGCTGGATTTTAAAGTGATGTTTAATTCTCCAGCTGGGGAGCGGGACCATTGAAGCCCTCAATATGACTGCCAGGTCTGGCTCTCTCCAGGTGGGCGCATTTGCTGGGGAGGGCAGATGGGGAGAGCTTCTGGGCAGTGGTGCTGCCGGTCTTGGTGGCTGGCCCATGGCAGGGGTCCCGTAGCTTCAGTGCCAGGATGAGACCCAGCCCCTGGGGATGGGGCTTAGCAAGAGTGGGGTCTAGACCTCAGCCAGGGAATTGTGGGCCTCCCTCGAATCATGGAGCAGGGCTGAAGGCCATTTGGGGGGGGAGGTGTGTCTGGGGAAGGTAGGGAGGTAATGTGGGCTTGCTCTTGATAAGACTCATGGTACTGTTTTCATGTGACTGTTTAGGTGTGTGGGGCAGATGCTTACTCAAGCTGACTGTCTTAGGAGGGAAGAATGCATTTATATGAATATGCATAGTGCTCTGAGGGCCATGGGAACTCAGGAATCTGAGTCTAGAGAAGGCGTAGCAAGGATCCCAGAGAGGTTGGAGTGGGAGGCTGAGGGACCCTGGGAGGCTGAGGTACACTCTTCCTGTTTCTCTCCTTCCACTTCTCTTTCCACTGTGGTGCTCCTTCACCCTCCTAGAGCTCTTTTCTCATCTTGGCTTGTTTATAAGCCCTCAAAGCCCCTGATCTGTGTCACGACCTTTTGCTACACATTCTTTCAAATTTAAATTTTCTTTTTTTTTTTTTAATTTTATTTTATTATGTTATGTTAGTCACCATATAATACATCATTCGTTTTTGATGTGGTGATCCACAATCCATTGTTTTCGTATAACACCCAGTGCTGCATGCAGTATGTGCCCTCCTTAATACCCATCACCGGGCCAACCCATCCCCCACCCCCCTCCCCCCTCCCCTCTAAAACCCTGTTTGTTTCTCAGAGTCCATAGTCTCTCATGGTTCATCTCTCCCTCCGATTTCCGCCCCCCTTCATTTTTCCCTTCCTTCTCCTAATGTCCTCCATGCTATTCCTTATGTTCCACAAATAAGTGAAACCATATGATAATTGATTTTCTCTGCTTGACTTACTTCACTTAGCATAATCTCCTCCAGTCCCATCCATGTTGATGTAGAAGTTGGGTATTCATCCTTTCTGATGGCTGAGCAATATTCCATTGTATATATGGACCACATCTTCTTTATCTGTTCATCTGTTGAAGGGCATCTCGGCTCTTTCCACAGTTTGGCTGTTGCGGACATTGCTGCTATGAACATTGGGGTGCATATGGCCCTTCTTTTCACTACATCTTGATTCTTTTTCTTAAATCACAATCCCATGATTAGAACTCTTGGGAACCTTCTGTGCTCAGCCCCCTCCAGGGCCCCAGGTCGAGCTATGGATTGGCGGCCCTGTGGTCACCTAGTCTCCCTTTTGTGTAAAGAGTTCTGGCGGTGGGGTAGCAAGGTGTCCTGGACCCAGTGTAGGGTGAGTAGGAGAGAGCACTCACATCCAGCCATCCTGATTAGGATTACCCCTGGAACCAGGTTAAAGAGTGCCAGGTGGGGAAGGTAAGCACTGGCAGGGAAGGCCCCTCACATCTCTTTTGCATTTGCAGATTCCATCTGGTTCTTTTCTCTTCTCTTCTCTCTTTTCCCCTCCCCTCCCCTCCCCTCCCCTCCCCTCTCCTTCTGTAGGCTCCCAATGTGGGGCTTGAACTTATGACCCTGAGATAAAGAATTGCATGCTGTACCGACTGAGCCAGCCAGCTCCCCCCGCCCGCTCCCCCCCCCCCCCCGTCTAGTACTTGATTTCTTGACTATGTATGAACTAATTCAATTTAAAGATTTTTTTTTAATTTATTTATTTGACAGAGAGATAGCACAAGTAGGCAGAGCGGCAGGCAGAAGGAAAGGGAGAAGCAGGCTCTCTGCTGAGTAGGGAGCCCGATGCGGGGCTCGATCCCAGGAGCCTGGGATCATGACCCGATCCGAAGGCAGCCGCTTAACCGACTGAGCCACCCACGTGCCCCTGAACTAAATAAATTTAGATGCTCAGGAAATAAAGGATCACTGAATCTGCGGGAGATTGGTATTGCTGCTGTAGAGTCTCAAATAGTTCTTGGCTACACTTTTACACCCATAGAAGAAAAGAGTGCTGTTTGATTTGTTTTGCCTCAGCTCATCAGGACCTTAAATATGTATTACTCAGAGAGCAGTAGGAAATAGCAGGTGTTCTTAGATTCTCTGTCCATTGCCATTCAGAAGGAGATGGTGTCACTGTTCCCTTTGCTCTTTCCTCTGTAACTGACTGGAGGTGTGTCATTGCAGGCTGGGGGTTCTTCGTTGGCGTCGGCTCCAGTGTCCGCCTTCCCTCGCTCTTCTGTCACACCGTCCAATCAGGACATCTGCAGGTAACGCTCTGCTTCAGATGCTGTAGGGGTTCATGTGACATCCCGGAAATAAGCATTAGTGTCTGCAGGTTCTCGATTTTCCATTTGCTCGGTTAGTATGCCTTTGCTGTAAACAGCTGGCTCAGGTTTATGTACTGTTTGCTCACCAAGTTACCACACGAGTCTCATTTCTTCACTTGGATGTCTATTCTCTTTAAAGATTGTTTTTACTTCCTGTGCTTTTATTCCACTGTTCTCTGCATGCAGTTCCAGTGCAGTGTGTTCTGAGTGTTGTCACCAAAGTCCCGTGCAGTCTGCTGTTGTCTTGAAAGCTCCTCCCTGCCAGAGTTCTCTGACACAAGGGCTCACTGTGACAGTTATCTGTAAAGACACATTGTCCAAGAGAAATTCCTGTGGTTCAGAACGGGCCCAGGCCTCGAAGCCTGTTGACAATACCAAAGCCAGAAGAACACTAAAGTTCTCAAAATCCTTAAACGATGTGGGCGAGAAGGCCCAGGATACTGTGGAAAGTTTTGACTATGTGGAAAGAACTTGCTCCGAAGGGAAACTGATACTCCCTCCAGATCCGGGTCTGAGAATTAACAGGTTCCACCAGAAGGAAAAAAGAGCACTGCATTGCAAACCTCTTGGCAATTCCAAACATTCTTGTGTTTCCTCCCTTTCTGCCAATCGATCAACTGCCTCAGAGGTGGAAGCCGGCAAGGGGGGCATGCACGTCCCTCTTTTGGAGGAGAAAGCAGATGGCGAAGCCATGTCCCGGAGCCGGCGGCTGCTCCGGTACCTGTTCTCGCTCTCACACGGCTCGAGCGCCCGCAGCCCGCACAGGTTCCGTGAGCTGGAGAACTGTGCCGCCCGTCTGCACACCGCCAAGTCCTCCAGCGGGCTGGCAGGGAGCACGGGCTTCTGCTCGGATGAGATGGGAGACGACGATGTCTTTGAGGACAGCACATCTGCAAAGTGGAAAAGCAAGGTCCTGCGGGCGCCCCTCTGCTCAGTGGAGAAGGACAGTGACCTGGATTGTCCTTCTCCCCCCTCTGAAAAATGCCCCCCGATCTCTCCTGTGTCCACGTCAGGGGATGCCTGCAGGTTGGTTTGCCAAGAACCACCATTCTGACCAGCTCTGCTCCCCAGACCTCGGTGGCCTCATCTTGCTTTTAATATGTGAAGTTTCAGGAAAATGAAGTAATGGGGGGGGGGCGTTGGTAGACAATTGTGGGTTAATGGTTTTCTCCAGAACAATGGAGTTGGTTTTCTCCAGAACAATGGAGTATTGATATCATTTGACAAACCAGTTTTTATGAGACGGGTCCCACTTAGTTTCACAGATGATTAAGGGGGAAGAAGCTACACATATTAAAGGCTAAGCTGACTCTTCTCAACCAAAAATAAGTAGAGTTTGCTTAAGGAAATTGGAAGAAAGAAAATAGTATCTCGTTTTCCAGCTTGAGGATCTAGATGTTAAGCATTGGCTGCCCCTTCCAGCTTCATTTTTACCCTTTGTTCCAGTTGCAACACAGTGTACATGGGAAGAGGCCGGCCTCCCGCAGCACCTTCCTTCCTTCCTTTTTAACTCGGATGTGGTCACCTCTGCCCAGGTTCTGACTCCACTTCCCACCTTTGTCTTCCCATGTGCAGCATCCTTGTCTGGCTTCCAGAATCTTTCAGAATCCGCTTTTTGTCACCACGCTCAAGCTTTCCCTATTCCAGTCTTTCCCTGGGCGCCCCTTCCGGGCCAGCTGTTACCATTTCTAACAGTTGGATCAGAAACCCCGCTCACAGAAACAAAGAGCTGTGAGCCTGGCCAGGGCCCAGCTCCTGTCAGGCCAGGTGTCCCTACCTGTTCTCCAGCTGCTGGATCAGACCCTTCCTTTTCTCAAAAGTCTGCTAAGTTCCTTGAGGTCAGTAGCTACATCCTCTTGCATGCACCCTTAGAAATCATGAATGATTTAAAATTATCACTTCCTCAAAAAAGAAACAAATGGCGGCACCTTCTCATGGGGTTTTTAGGTCCAGGAGAGGTCCTGTGTTTTCTCTGTGTACTGTCTGAGGGAGGACGGAGATGTTTAGTATGGTGTGTGAAGGTGAAGTCAGTGATTATGACTAAAAAGCAAGTTCATCATCTTTTCAAGTCACTGGTATTTTTGGAAAGTAGAGTGCTAGTTTTGTTTTACACAGAAATGTTTCCTCTAATTACTTTAACATGTTGTGAAAGAGGCTTCCATGTTGCCTTAAATTTGGCTTTCAGTGAAGTTCTTAAATCTTCCCAAAAATGACTGCTTTGTCATTTCTTATATCATTTTTTCCTCTCTGATGCAAAATGCCATCCAGACTTTCCATGTTGGTGCGGTAAGCTAGAAGTTTTTAGTTTGTAGTCACTGTTCACGTCCGTGTTTGTGTGTTTTTGTGCTTGTGGTCCTTTCTGTGATGTTTGTTGTCGAAAGTTTTCACTGGGGGGGTTGACCCTCTCTTGAAGCGTCCTCTTCGCTGGTATGTGGCCCTGCTGGTAATGACTGGCTTTGCTCTCCCCGCAGGATCTGCCACTGTGAAGGGGATGACGAGAGCCCTCTGATCACCCCCTGCCGCTGCACGGGGAGCCTGCACTTCGTGCACCAGACCTGCCTGCAGCAGTGGATCAAGAGCTCCGACACGCGCTGCTGTGAGCTCTGCAAGTACGAGTTCATCATGGAGGTCAAGCTGAAGCCTTTGCGAAAAGTACGTGGAAGGACACCTTCGGAAGTGCTCTCACCTCTTGGAAATGAGGGGCCCCTGGCAGAGTAGCCCCTTGGCCGGGACGAAGCCGTAGCTCGCTTACGCTCCTGTCTGTCAGAAGTGGGTGCCGGCGCAGGTGTTCACGCTGCAGGCGTCGTCATTTCTGGGTCTTCTTTCTTGCTCCCTCCTCTCAGGAGGAAGCTCTTTCTGACCCTTCGGTCCTAACGTGTTTTTCAGTCAGACTAAGACTGCTTGCTTGTCTGTGTCAGTCGTTTGGCCCCATGTTGGGACCACAGACTGTTTTGTGACATCTTAGCATTTAATTTTCTATGTATTAACCGTTCATGTCTTGCCTCTGATTAGGACTGTATATTGTTACCCTTGCACAAAGCACATAGTCCATTTAGTTGTTAGATACCTGTGATAAGTATTTGCTAGTTGGTAGGGGGAAGCAGGCAGGTCTGGTGCACGAAGTGCAGGCTCCCTGTGCAGCGGCAGGGGGTGATCAGAGGGCTCTCGTCATCCCCTTCACAGTGGCAGATCCTGCGGGGAGAGCAAAGCCAGTCATTACCAGCAGGGCCACATACCAGCGAAGAGGACGCTTCAAGGGAGGGTCAATCCCCCCAGTGAAAACTTTCAACAACAAACGTCACAGGGTGGGTGGGAAAAGAGAGGAACTGCAGGCCCTACGGGAAACGCACCTCTCTTCAGGCCCCACGTCACGGCTCCCTCTGAGTGGAGCCTCATCTGGTAGGCACCTCCTGTGTAAGTGGTTTAATGTGTTTCTCTATATGCCCAGCACATAAGGTTTTGTTTGGTAGAATAAGACTTGTTCATATCTCAGACTTTTGATACGTATATTCAAGGGGGATCACACAATCACATCACAACACACGAATGTTCAATTAAATGGTGGCAGAGCACGGCAGACGTTTAGGAGCATTGGCTGGGGGCTGGAGCCTTGGGGAGGTGGAGTGGTGGTAGCGTCACGGAATGTTTGGATGTTCAAGCCGTTCTTGAAGGGTCAGTAGGATTTGGAGTAAAGTGAAAGGAGTTTAGAGAGGTCAGCCTGTGTAAAAAAGCATACACCAAAAAGGTGAGGGTGAGCGTTTCAGGTCAGTGTGAAAGGCTTGGGCTGAGTGTACGTAAAGAAATAGCAGGAAATCAGGGAGCAGGGGGGCATTTTAGGAGGAAAGCCAAAAGAAGATACTATATAAAACCATAGCAAAAAGCACTCGGGGTGTTGGAGAGGCAGATGCAAACTACTTAAAAAATGTTTTGCCCCATAAAGACCGTATAATTTATTGGATACCTACTCTCTGCTGGTCCCTCAAATGAGACTTGTAGCAATTCGACTGATGTAGATAATCCACAAGGCTCTACTTTCAGCTTGTCCTACATAGAACCATCTGGAGAGAGGCTGTGACTAGGGCTGGCCAAGGATATGCAGAGTGTTTACACTTTGTTCTTTTTCTCTATCTTTATGTTTTCTTCTGATTCGGAAAGCAGTAAATGAAAGAGAAAATCTGGCTCTTTGGAGTCAATTAATGAGCTCCTAGAGGAGATGGGACTGGCAGAGCCTGCTTGTACCAGGAACTCTTAGCATCGATTTCAAGCTGTTGCTGCCAAAGCAGCAAAGGACCAAAGAGTGAGCGCCTTCTGCCATCACCTTCATGATGTAGTGTGACCCATCTGCTAGTGTGTTGTGGCGTCATCAACCCTCTTCCCCTTGCCCACGCCAGTCAGCAAGGCAGGGAGGTCTCCTGTGTGCCACCTGGGTCGGGGGCCACCATGCTGGTTTCATCAGGACTGGAACCATAGAGTCCTTCAGCTAGCCATTGGCTGTCTGCCTGCAAGAATAAGCAGACAAGAGGATTGATTTCTGGTTGTGGTCCATAGCTCATCTTGATCCCAGCTTCTTTTCATTGCATAAAAAGTTGGCTGTTGACAGAATACCAGTGCCTGGTACCTGGTTGAAGCCAAGTGGTTTAAGGCGAATGACTTTTGGTATTTGGGAAAATTCATGAAGTCTGGGAAAAGGGGAGGGGAGAGAAAGCCAATCTTACCCATCTACAGTGCTCTTACCCCCATTGTAGCCCTTTATGTCTGGGGTCCTGCACCTCACGCTCTGTGTGTTGTCTTTCCAGTGGGAGAAGTTGCAGATGACGGCCAGTGAGCGCAGGAAGATCATGTGCTCAGTGACATTCCATGTCATCGCCATCACCTGTGTGGTCTGGTCCTTGTATGTGCTCATCGACCGTACCACCGAGGAGATCAAACACGGACAGGCAACAGGTATGTGCTCAGAGTGAAAGATGAGCTCAGCATAGAGATCCTGGATAACGCATGGGGGTCATTCCAGATTGGTTTTTAAGTCAGACTTCAAATGTCTGGGTTTCTGGAGCAGGGGCATCAATTATGAAGAACCAAGCATCGTTTTTGGATGTTTCTCTTGCTGTGGTGAGTACTTTTTAAAAAACCCAGTTAGAAGAGGTCAGATCAGGGAGAATCTCCACACACTGTTTCCTGGAAGAGCAGCAAGATAAGAGAGTGGATACCCTCTGCCATCCCTCTGCCATACCACCTTTGATGAAGCAAGATTTGATGAGTGAAGAATCCATTGGTCATGGGTGGGAAGGTCAGAAGTTGTGTTTTGTTTACTTTAGATCTTAAATTAGGTCTGCTGATAGGCTAACCGGGTTTTTCCCCTTCCAGGAATCCTAGAGTGGCCTTTTTGGACTAAACTGGTGGTTGTGGCCATCGGCTTTACCGGCGGACTTCTTTTTATGTATGTTCAGTGCAAAGTGTATGTACAATTATGGAAGAGACTCAAGGCTTATAACAGAGTAATCTATGTTCAAAACTGTCCAGAAACAAGCAAAAAGAATATTTTCGAAAAATCTGCACTAACAGAACCGAACTTTGAAAATAAAGATGGACATGGAATCTGTCATTCTGACACAAACTCTTCTTGTTGGACAGAACCTGAAGACACTGGAACAGAAATCGTTCATGTCTGATTTTGTGCAGGGGTTAGTTTTCCTGGACATTGAAGAACAGCTGAAGGAAATTGTTTACTGCCAATTGTGTACCTTTTCTTACATCCTTTAATAGCATAGACCAGGCAGGTGACTGTTTTAATGGCTTCTCTTTTTCTAAGCCCTCCTTAGTGAATCTCCGGAAAGCCCTCACATTGGCCGTGCACGGCCGGGTTCCACTTCTGCCAGCATTTCCACGGGAAGGGAGGTCCCCGTGATGCCATGTGATGGGGAGCTGGCTGGGCTGTGGCCCATGAGACGTTGAGCAGAATGAGAGAATAAAATGCCCAACCCGAGGGAAGAGCAGGAGCAGGGTGGCACCCCGGCCTCTCCCGGTTGGCAGCAGCCCCCACCCTGGCGCGGAGTGTTTGGGACTGTCTAGCAGCCGTGATGAGAGGATTTCCCTCCTCACCAAGAAGAGCCCAGGAGCTGAGCCCGTCTGTTGACGCTGCTGCTGGCCGTTTTCCGGAGCAGACGGGGCTGTGGTACTCTGTGCCTGGTGGCGAGGGATTCACTAAGCAAACAGCACTTTACAAAGAGAGAATCTTTATTTTGTAATATGTGTGTCCAGTGGGATGGACATTTAAAAGAACGTCTCATTTAGAAGCCTTCCTTTCATGATCTCTTTTATGTTATAATAGATCTAAAACCCTTTTTGCCTTATATATTCTAAAAAACCTGACATCTGCTCTGTGTGCATCAAAGGGACTTGTGGCTCTAAAGCAGGACAAACAGATCTGAGGCTTTTTCCTAACATTTCATGGAAATTAATGGATGCCAGATGGCAATTTGAGCCCAATTCCTGTGGTTTCAAGCCTATTTTATAAGTCTAAAGACTGCCCCAAACACTTCTTTTTGGACAACACTGAAAAAGAAGGTTATGTGAGATCTAAATGAAAGGAAGTGAGTAGTTAGAACAAAAATGAGTATTTAAAATGACTCCTCTCCGGACAAAGCTCTCCAGTTTGTGCTGGCTTCACCAAAAGCATAAGCGTGCGCTGCCCTGGTCGGGGGCTCGGACACCAGGGGTGCTCCTGGGTGCCTGCCGCCTTGGATGGCCTCTGGTCCTGGGGAGGTCCTGTGGGTCACTGGCCCGGGCAGAGAGACAGACGGGCTGGCTCTGGGACAAAGGCCAAGAGTGAGCAGCAAACTGCCGGGGCCCACGGTCACTGCCCCCAGCCCCGCCTCTACCCGTGTATAGCCTTAACTGGACTGGACAGAGAGGATCCTTGTGATCAGTTCATTCTATCATCAGGGATTATCTCCTGTACCATTTTCATAAGACAAAACCAAAATCACTACCATCAAATGGCCTTTGTCCCTTTAAAGTCTGCTTAAAATTCTGTTTTTAAAAATGAGTTTCGCTTCGCCAGGTAAATAGGAGTTAACTCCAGGAAAATAGGCCGGGAGGGTCCGCAGTATCACAGGCATGTGCCCAGGTACTTACTCTCCAGGTGACACTGCATCTGTAGAGCCTCTTCTAAGGGGAAGGATGCCTGGGGGTCCTGCCCTCAGTCCCCTGAGCCTTAGGTGCCTTGCCTGTCTTGTTAAGAGGATGAAGCAAACACAAGACGATCCCTTTGCCTTTCAGAGTAGAAGTGCTCTGGTTTGTCTGGAAAGCCAGGAGGAGGCTGAAGCGTGTCTGAGCTCTGGGGCAGGGTGCGTGGTAGCAGGCTTTGCCCTGCCGTCCCTTCGCATGCGGTGTCTGATTCGTCAGCATCACGGACTCTGGTCTGAGGAGCTGCCCCACCCCACCGTGGCCTTCCTCTGGCTCGGCAGGCACCGTCCAGCCATGGCCAGCCCCTGAAAATAGGTCAGCCTGCTCTCTCTCTCCGTCTCCCAGGCCGCATCCAGTCCGTGCCTGTGTTCACTGTGCCCCAAAGTGCAATTACCCACACTCCTTCTCAGCCTGCGGACGCCAGGCAGCTACACGCTGTCTTCTCAGGGGAGCCGAGTCCTGGGCCAGCCCTGCCTGTGTCCCTTAGAGCTGCCCAGGCAAGGCCCCTTGGCCTTGCCCTCTTACAGCAGATGAGTAGTCACGTGAAGACTGGGATCGATTTTTAAGTGGGATTCCTTCCCCTCTCCCCGATGGAACCCCTTATGCTGAACTTGAAAGTCACTAAGACTTCTGCAGAGAGGAAAGCGTGCTTAGGTAGGGATGGCCTCTGGGCAGCCCACCTCTCATGGCTGGCACCCTCTGTGGCAAAGATGCCTTTATAACCATGACTGCTGTGTTGCTCTCATGTGAAACCCTCCCTTCTTTTCAGGAAGGCCTAACACCATCTCACCACCTCCACCAAGCTCCTAAAAAAAAAGCCTTCTGCTTGGGGACGGTCCATCCCACATCCTTCTTTCCTCTCCTGGGTTGGCACACAGATGCCCTCTTGCCTTTCTCTTTTCTCATAGGTTCTAGTTGAGCACCTCTGACTCCATCCTTAGTCCCGGCTCTAATCTCTACCTCCCAGAGACAGACCCAGGAAGCCAGCAGCTCTGGAAAGGTGGTGCTGTGCTGTCATCTAGTGGGGGCGGTGGGTCTGCCAGGGGTTCCTTTAGTCCATAGGCAGCTTGCCTTCTAGTTTTTTTTGGGGGGTGGCGGTATTTATTCCCGTTTCCCCCTCATTCTGCACGTGGCTTTGGTGGAGGACAACACTTGGCTGAACCAGAAACGTGGGATGAGCTGGTGGGTCTCAGGGCCTGGAGGGTTGGTACTTGGGGGCCAGGCCAGGTGGGGAGGGAAGTGGCCTCGGGTGTTGCCAGCCAGCCCTCTCTGATTTGGCCTCTATTCCCTCAAAAGTTCGTTTGGCTCGAGCGCTTCTGACTTTGGCTGCCAGCAGGAATTTGGTTTTTGTGCCTGAGTTGATTTTAAGAAACCTGGAAACTCTCAAGCTGCGCTCCGGGCCTCTACTGTGTCCTCCTTTTCTGCCTCATTCCACTCTTTTCAGTCTCCTGGGTCTAGTTCTCAACCTTGCTGGTATGCCCTATCTGGTTGCAGACGCAGGCCGCAGGCAGTGGGCCAGTCCCGGGGCTGCAGGTGGGGCCTGCACAGCTGGGGCTACGTCTGCTGCCTGGTGGGGGCGGGGGGGCTGTAGTGCTGGAGGCGGCCTGGGAACGACGGGGCCGAGGGCCGCGATGCTGTGCGTTCGGCCTCATGCAGAGAGAGACACTTCTTGAGTACTTTCTCTTTTGAATCTGATTTGAAATATGCAGCTTCCCTCTCCAGCCCAAGGAAAGACCGAAACATAGGGAAATAAAAACATTTATCTTTGTTTTGGACGTAATTAAGTTGTGCAGCTATTCACCTATTTAGATGCAGTGTTTATAGAAAGCTGATTGTTAATAAAAACCAAATTTACACTGGCATGTGTGACGTAGTTTCTAAAAGGCACTTCACATTTGAAGATTTTCTTAACTTGCAGAGTTTCTGGTTGTCTAAATGTCTGGTTTTGTATCCTTTTGTGTATGTTCACTTTCTCAATATTACCACTTGAATCATTCTCGGGAGGGGGTTATACATGGGGTGTCTAATTGCAGCAATAAAGCATTTCTTTAAAAGGGGATTTTGCCCTGAAAGTGTTTTCCTGCAAGAAGGCAGGGAACATTGGCAGGCATTCCAGTGGTTCTGCTCCCCTTTCCACCATCCTCTGCCTTGAATGTTGGGGAAGAAAATCATGCAACCTCCGGAGGTAGCTGTTTTCCTCGGCCTGTCCCTGCAGGCAGGGAAGGTCCCCCTACTCCCCCCCGCCCCCCGACACTGGTGGTTGGTTGGGGGGAAGGGGGTGGGTTCAGGAGAGTGTGCAGGCTTGGAAGTAAATACGGAAGTAGCTCACACAGGTGTGCTTGCTTTAAACATCCAGGCTCTACTTGGACTCTGTGCCCTATGAGAAGCCAGGTTCAAGTTCAGGGTATGTATGGCCATGTGACGGTGGAGCAGTTGATTAATGCCTAACTCGCCTTATCTGTTCAAACACTGAGCCTTGGCCTAGCTGAGTAGGAGAACCAGGGAGGACCAGCAGGATCTCTGGTGATAGCTCAGGCTGGCTGTATCTCCTGGCTTCTGATGCAGTCTCCCTAAGTCATGGTGGTGTCTCGGAGCCTCCTGTCTCTCGAGCTGTGTGTGCTGAGGGCAGGCACCTGCCTTTACCTGGGTGCATAAGGTGAAAACAGGCCAGGATTGCCCTGTACATACTGTCCCCTAGGTGAGCCCAGGTACCACAGTAGCTGCCAGGAGACTTTGGAGCTCAGCGGGAGGATACTTTGACAAGTGTCCTTGCCTGACTTTGGGAGCTGTTGTGGCCTCTGGCGGAGGATGGACCGCAGAAGAGCTGAACAGGTATGTGCCCGTGCAGGGGAGGGAGTGCTCAGGTGCTCGACTATGGTTGGAGGGGTGAGGAGGGTGGAGCTGAAAGAGCAGTCTGCTTCAGTGAGGTGAGATGGGGGGTTCTGTCCAAGGGGAGCCTCTCTGCTTTGGGGATCCACCAAATTTGATGAGTTTGGCTGAAAAGATGCGCAGTGGGATCTTGGTTGCACACAGGCTTGAGCATGCCTTCCCTAGGCCTTTCTGCTCTTTAACACCAGCTACAAAGTGATGGGGTGAGGGCTGCGCCATGGCGCACTTCAGCCCTCCGTCGGGGCAAGCTACTCGCAGGCCAGCCTCCTGTTCTTACAGCCCCATTCATTGACATATTAACATACTGCTCATTACTTGGGGTGTCAGGCTGGTGGGAGGAGGAGGAATCCGGGTGCTATAGTAGAACTACCTAGATGATCAGATGACCAGAAAAGATGAAATGTTTGATTAAACATTCCGAGGGGAGGGGCAGGCATACAACAAGCAAAGCGGTCAGCATGGTTTAAAAAAAAAAAAAAAAAGGCAGAACATCAAACAGCCCCTTCCCCAGGGAAAGGCCTTGAGCAGGAACCCAGCGCTGGGTCCCTGGAAGGCAGAGGTCTGGGCCATAGTCATGCAGTAAAGGCATCACAAACTCTTCACGTGTCTGAAATCTGTGAGAAATGCGTGTTGCTTACTGCAGTCACATGAGACGCTCCCTCACATCTTGCTTTTTTCACCTAAAAACTGGATACTGATACAGATCTTTAGGTTGCTTACTTGACTTTTGTTATTAGAAACAAGGCTCAAGTCCACATCCATGACATTTATCTTTGTACACTTGTGTGTGTGTGTGTGGTGGCGGGGGGGGGGGGCAGTTCTGAAGATGAATTCCTAGAAGTGGAGAAAGGGGTAAAGGCATTTAACTTTTAAGTTGCAAAAGCACCCTCCAAAATGATTCACTTACGAGAATTTGAGTCTCTTTCCTTGCATTGTATCATGTAGGTGTTTTTTAAATTGTTACTAAAATGATTGTCGTTCCCTCTTATCTCATTGATGTTTTACTTTGCATTCTTGGGTAAATGAGATTGAGCATCTTTTGTTTACCCTGCATGTCTGCATATGTGAATGTCCATGCCTTGGCCATTTCTCTTGGGTTTTTTGGTATATTTTACATTAAATCATCGTTACTTTTTATGGTGAAAGAACATTAACTCTGGTTTGATGTAACTGGCAAATAAGTGCTGTTCGTTTTTTTCACAATTTTATGAAAAATTTTAAATAATTGTATAAGTGAGAAGTCATTTACCCTAGATTCTACAATTAACATTTTGCTATATATACTTTACCACATATCTCCATCTATTCATTACACTATCCTTCCATCACCTTGCTTTTTTAATGCGTTTCAGAGTAAATTACAATGAGAAGTATACACTTCACCCCACTTAAGTTTGTATATTATTAGCTACAATTCAACATTTATGGTTCTTTTTGTTCTTAGGAAAAATTTACATACAGTGAAATGTACAAATCTTAAGTGTACCATTTGATGAGTTTTGGCAGATGTATACACCTGTGTAACCCCAAACCAGATGTTCTGTATCAAAATGCAGAACATTATCTCAATCCTGAAAATTCTGTTGCCCCTTCCCAGTGCATCCCTGTCCCCATACCCTCTGAAACAAAATCGTTGTTCTGATTTTTGGTTTTAACTTGTCCTGGAGCTTAATTTTGGTGGAGTCTTGCAGTTTACCCTCTTGTGTAGGGGTTCTTTAAGTCAGCACAGTGTTTTTGAGTTTCATCTATGCTCCTGTATCCACACATTCCTGTTTTGTGTTGAATAATATTCCATTTTCTAAATACACCAGTCTCTTCATTTTCTTACAGTTGGAGACTTGAGCTCTTTCCAGTTTTTGGCCATTATGAATAGAATTGTTGAGATTATTTTTGTGGACACATTTTAATTTCTCTTGGGTGAATACATAAGCATAAAATGCTGGTTCAGAGAGGGTAGCGATGTTTAGTTTTATAAGAAACTAAACATTTTCCCAAGGCAGGTGTACCATTTTACATCCCCGCCAACAAGGTATGAAGCTTCCAGTTACTTCAAACCCTTGCAACATTTGGTGTTGTTAGTCACTAACCTAAAATACAGAATTTTAGCTGTTCTCATAGATGTGTAGTTGTAATTTGGTTTTAATTTGCATTTTCCCAATGACTAATGATATTGAGCATCTTTTCATGTGCCTCTTGTCACATGCTTATCTGCTATTCACAAATCTTATCTGTCTTTTTATACCAGGGCTAACAAACTATAGCCCACTGGCCAAGTCGAGACTGTGCCTATTTTTGTGAGGCTCTTGAGCTAGGAATGTGTTTTAAAATTTTATGTTATTTGGTTTTTTAAAAGATTTTATTTATCTATCTATTAGAGAGAGAAGTGAGAGTGGGGAGGAGAGAGAGGGAGAGAATCTCAAGCAGACCCCACACTGAGCATGGAGCCTGATGTGGCGCTCAGTCTCACAACCCTGAGATCATGACCTGAGCCAAAACCAAGAGTCAGATGCTCAACTGACTGAGCCACTCAGGTACCCTGTGTTTTACAATTTTAAAAGGTTGTTTTAAAAAATGCAGCAGATTATATGTGGCCTACCAAACCTAAAATTTTTTATAGGAAAAAATGTGCTTGACATTGCTATGGATTTGAAGTATGTATCTTGTCTATTGCATGTGCTTGGGTATTGATTTTTTATTTTTTTTAAAGATTTTATTTATTTATTTGACAGAGACACAGCGAGAGAGGGAACACAAGCAGTGGGAGTGGGAGAGGGAGAAGCAGGCTTCCCACGGAGCAGGGAGCCCGATGCGGGGCTCGATCCCAGGACTCTGGGATCAGACCTGAGCCAAAGGCAGACGCTTAACGACTGAGCCACCCAGGCGCCCCGGGTATTGATTTTTTAAATTATTCTGATCATCTCCGCCTTTTAGCTGGAGTTTTTAGTCCTTATAAACATTTGATTACTGATATGGTTGGCTCTGTCTACCATTTTATTTGATTTGTCTTCTGTTTTTCTCTGTTTTTGTTTTTTTGTTTTTTTTTTGCTTTCTTTTAAATTATTTATATATTTTTAGAATTCCATTTTAAGTCCTCTCTTGGTTTTTAACTATACTTCTTTACATTATTTTAGTGGTTGCTCTAGAGGTTATAATCTACCTACTTAAAATTTCACAAACTACAGAGAATATTGTACCACTTGATACAAGATGTAGAAACCATGCCTGAAATAGTCCATTAACACCCATTATCTTTTATGCTATCTTTATATTATGCTTACATGTATTATAAATGCCACATGATAGTGTTATATTTGCTTTAAATAATCATATATTTTAAAGGAAGGAGGAGGGGAGAAAGACTCTTACATTTACCAAATATTTACCATATTTGATACTCTCCTCTCCTTCTTGAGGATCTGAGTTTCCATGGGAGCATTTCTTATAGTGTAGATCTGCTGGCAGGAGATTCTCTTCATTTTATTTTACCTGAAAATTTCTTTATTTCATTTTCATACCTAAAATGGGCCACTTTTTTTTTTTTAAAGATTTTATTTATTTATTTGACAGAGAGAGACACAGTGAGACAGGGAAGACAAGCAGGGAGAGTGGGAGAGGGAGAAGCAGGCTCCCCACTAAGCAGGGAGCCCGATGCGGGACTTGATCCCAGGACCCTGGGATCATGACCTGAGCCGAAGGCAGACGCTTAACGACTGAGCCACCCAGGCGTAAAATGGGCCACTTTTGTTTGAGGACTCCACATTAGCTGAGTGAGGCTTTCTTAGAGGTGCCCTGCAGTCTGGAGTCCATTCTACCCAGACCTTCCTTCCCTTGCTGCTTGCACCCACAGGATCAGACCTGCATCATCATTCCTACCTGCTCCTCTTCCTTCCTTTGCTCACATGGCCTTGCGGGCTCTAAAGGTTGGTACATTGGCCCTCACAGGGACATGGAGCTGAGTGAGTGCCTTTACC